CCACGTCGTGGGGCTGGCGCAGATCTAGCGGGTTATTAACTCGCGAAGACGCTCCACTCCCTTACTCGGGAAAGGTGAACTCTTACACTCGCATTGTCTGCCTGAAATATCCACGCCGACAAACTCACGTCGAACTGAAAGATAAGAATGTGTAAAAAGCAACTGGATATGGAAAGAATTTGGGATAGTCATTGCTCTGTTAGCCATTGGCAAATCAGTGTTTACCAGGCACCATCGACTTGGTCGAGGTATTGGCATTTGACACAGGTGGACGTGAGAAGTGCAATGACACACCAGTACCTTAGAGGCCCAAATGTCAATAAAGACCTAGGTGATTACTTAGGTCTATGCTTTCATGCATTCTTTCTTCCTAATTTTTGGGTACAAGGAGTTATTTTGTTTGTATTTATATTATTTTTTGTTGAAAGGGAAGAAGGTAACGTTCAAATAGTCAGTACACAACACATAATATTATTCATAGTAAAATTATTATACCGGATATTTTGGTTTTTTGTTGAAAGGGAAGAAGGTAACGTTCAAATAGTCAGTACATAACACATAATATTATTCATAGTAAAATTATTATACCGGATATTTTGGTGATCTGATGTAACCAGAACATACTAAAATAACCAAAAATATATATATTTATATTAGTTCCTATTTTTTTATACGAAGATACTGTCATACGTACCTTGATAACTTTTGTGAGGCTATTGACTTATTGTCTTGTTTCAGAATAAATTTCTTAATTCCCATCAGGTAAATTGCAACATACTTCTCCCAATTCATATCCTGTAAATCTAGTTTGACCATATCGCTGTCATTCAACATTTACTTTCCTCCCTAAGTCGGAACAGTTATCTGTTTGGAAAATCCATTCGTGCATAGCGAAATATGCTGTCAATGTGAACATCTTATTGCCATTTTGGAGGTTTTATCATTCTGAAATATCATTTTTAATTGTTATTATAAATGAAGTCAGAGATTATCCCCGAAAGATTGTTCTTGTTGTGCGAGGATTGGTAGAATACTCACATTGGTTTCCCACCTCGGAGTCTTGAAATGATATCTATGACGAACGAAGGCAAAACATGCGGAAATACACTCCGAATGACGTTCCACCGTACCCGCTTCCTTGCCCGCGGGCTTAGGGTCGGAGGTCCTCTGCGGCAGCAAGCGTTTCTCGTTGCCTTGCGGACGTG